CTGTCTGAAAATGTTGGGGTCAGTAAGACTTTTTTTTTAAATAATACTTTTATTCAGCATGATCAAAACTGACAGTTGAGACATTTGTTATGTTTTCCATTTCAAATAAATATTCTCTTGAACTTGCTAAGAATCCTGAAAAAAAAAATGTATCACTGTTTCCAAAAAAATATTAAGCAGCACAACTGTTTTCAACATTATAATAATCAGAAATGTTTCTTGAGCATCAAATCAGCATGATTTAAATTGATTTCTGAAGGATCATGTGACATTGAAGACTGAAGTAATGATGCAGAAAATTCAGCTTTGATCACAGGAATACATTCACATAGAAAATACTTATTTTCAATTGTAATAATATTTTACAAAATCACTGTTTTTACTATATTCTAATCAAATAAATAGAGCTTTGGTGAGCATAAGAGACAAAGATATTAAAATCTTGTTCATTTTAATTAACTTTACTTTTCTTAACTTATTTTTTCAGTAGTACTGTATTTTATTTTTGCTTATTCTGGGGTACACACACACACACACACACACACACACACACACACACACACACACACATATATATACAGTTTATTGAAGACTGAAGTAATGATGCAGAAAATTCAGCTTTGATCACAGGAATACATTCACATAGAAAATACTTATTTTCAATTGTAATAATATTTTACAAAATCACTGTTTTTACTATATTCTAATCAAATAAATAGAGCTTTGGTGAGCATAAGAGACAAAGATATTAAAATCTTGTTCATTTTAATTAACTTTACTTTTCTTAACTTATTTTTTCAGTAGTACTGTATTTTATTTTTGCTTATTCTGGGGTACACACACACACACACACACACACACACACACACACACACACACACACACATATATACAGTTTATACAGTGTATATTAGTGCTGTGTTCAATACATCGATACGCCGATGTATCGTCACAGAGATCTGACGACGATACACGTATCGATATCGCGGCACATGCGCTGCAGTGGACCGCGCTTAATTTGAATACAAGAACACCGTTTAAAACGGAGCAGAAAAGTTAAAGGTTTCTAAAAAAGTATGAATAGAGCGTAATATATAGGCTACAACAAGGTTTAATCTGGCCGCAGAGGAACACAACCGGGATTACCTGATATAAAGAGACGTAATCCCCGAAACAGATCTTCCCACTTGCGCAATACGGAAATATCTGCAAAGTGTATTACTTATCTTTGTCAACCTGGCAACCCTGTGTACGCACGCTCTCTCCACTGTTTAAACGCGCTTGTTTTCTGAAAGCTTGCAGTTTAGCAATCTCCACTTCAATACTCTATTATCAGAAAATTGTAATTTATCAAGTGTTCATTTATGAGAGAGAGAGAGAGAGGCTGTGTATGTGGCTGTGTATGTATGAATTACCACAGTTTTGCCGCGTTTCTCTATTAACAGTGAAGCTGTGGCAAAGTTTGTCTAAACGCGAAAAAGAATGTCTGTGCGCGCGGTGTGATCGGACTAAACGTGTGCGCTTGAGGTACAGTGAAGACAGCGCATTAGTTTAGAAGAACTCTTCTAATTTTTATTTTTTAAACGTAGAGAGTGTGTTGATTTGTGCAATGATAACCTACCAGCAATGTTAAGATGATTTTAATATATTAGAATGAGTACAATACAATATAGCCTAAATGTATTAGAACGAGTAAATTATTATTTATGGGCTTAAAAACAAGATGCAAACAATCAGAATATTGTACCTGGTGGGGAGTGCACAATGTAAACATGAAACATATGCCATTACCTATAGGCTATTGTACTGTGGTACAGTTATAGAGGCCCTTCATAATGCAGAGGTCAAGTGCCTGTTCTGCCAATAGTTAGCAACGGCCCTATGGTATGCAGTGTTTAATAAACGGCTGTTTTACTAAATTCTTGGTGAAATTCAGTATGGTATTGTGACTTTGCTGGTGATACACAGCCCTCGTGTATATACTGCCTAGTTTTGGATAATCCAGAAAATGACTGGATCATAATTTGAAACCTTGAATCTTTGAAACTTGATGTAAAAACTGTTGTGAATAATCCTACATCTTGATTAGTGTCGTCTTGAAACTTTTGAACCTCTATGACATTCATTGTATGGACACACATCTTCTAATATCTTCTTTTGTGTTCTAAAGTAGTGAAAAAAAATCTCAATACACTGGAATGGCATGATGATGAGTAAATGATGTCAGAATGTCTTTTTTTTTTTAGGTAACTATCCTTTAAAAGGTTCATCCTCTGATCCCGGCCAATGTCTTGTTCTCAGTTGTAATATTGCTAGTATACCACTGGAGGAAGCCAGGGATTCATGAAAACACATCCTTCCTTGATTTGTTTTCAGAGCTTTGCTGCATATTATTATTTCACCTCGTCTCACCTCACTTCTTCCAGTGTCTTTTTCATTCTCATTAAATCCTAGAATTGCACCTTGAAGACTAACAACCGCAAAGTACGAAAAATGTGTTGATTGTGATGCAGAAAAAATTCCGTTGAACTGTGAAAATGGTGCCACTGACTAAGTGCATTGAAAATTAAACACAATTATATAAATATTGTTTGCATGCTTGATGCTTCAGTGCTAAATTTAAAATGATAACATGTTAGAACTACTTACCTGCATATTGGCATCCTGGGTCCTTAAAAACAAACCCTGTGCCAGCCATGCAAACCAGCAGAACTGATAAACCCTCTTGAGATCATTGCTTTTATGAAGATAAAATTAAAACCTCTGGTCTAAATGTCACCATGGAGTAAATACTAATAGATATTTAGAATAGATACTTTTAATAAAATATGAGGGAAAATTCCTACACAGTCTTTTTTTCCCTCACAATAGATTACCATAAATAGCCTGAGACAAACACAAAGGACATAATTCATGAAAATGGAAGGAGCCTCTGTCTGGCTGGTGCTATGTTGGTTTAACGCTTAATTGAATTTCCTATGCTCTGTTTTTCTCTGTACCAGGGGTGGCAATTTGAATTATTCCAGTGACTGATGTGAGCCGAGACAATGGGTGTCTTAATTCAATTAGAGTAGGAGCTGGTTTAACATGCGAGTCAGTCTAATTGCCACAAATTATTTCTGGAAAAAGATGACCTCTCCTGTAGCAAAGCCGTCTGCTAGAGCAGATTGGCTCTGGTTGAACAGAATGACTGTGAACAGGGGTCTCGGAGCTTGATGAATTTCAGTAAGCGTGCTCGATCTGGCTTCTTTAGATCTTTCTTTCTGCAGAGATGAGCTGTGAGACACCTAGCTGTAATTTTCAAGTGAATTTAAAAACCTTGATTAGCTGGTTCACGTGTGTTGGAGTTCCAACTACAGTCTGCAGGAAGCAAGATCTTCTGATGTCTAGCACTTTTCACAATACTACACTTTGTTTAAAAAATAAATAA